TATTGTATGTCTACTTTTATTCAGCAGTTGAACACTGACCTGTCTGGTTTTTTTTTTTTACTTTTTTTAAAGGTTTTTTTTCTTTTGTTCGTGTGTGTGTGTGTGTGTGTGTGTGTGTGTGTGTGTGTGTGTGTGTGTTGTACTTCTGGCATACATTTCCTTCCCTGTAACATATCTTATATTCTGGTGTTTTCGAATCATGTGTTTTTGAGAAATAAATGCTGCTGCTTTAACTCATTTGTTGGTCTGAAATATAAGTCATCATGATAATTGCTCAAACTCCCAGAGTTCTGCCTGTCTCTCCCTCCTGAGTGGTGGGCATAAAGGCATGTACCACCACTGCCTGGCTGCTCTTTAGTTCCAATGGAGTAGCAATATCCCTTTAGAATGTACACACCAGTTTTCTCATCCAATATATTCCTGATTTCAAGGACATCTATGTTTGGTGGGCATGACAGTGCCACAAACAGTGATGTTCTGAGCATCCTCACTTATGTCCTCTTGGGAAATTCTGCATTGAGACAATCACAGGAAAATGAAGCCCAAGGCTTTGGTACCATTGATTGTCTCCCTTGAGGCTCCTGTACCACAACACTTAACCTTATAAGATTTAAACACCACACATTTATTTCTCAAAAAGTAGACACTAGAACCACATTTAGAGGGCCATGACAGTCAATTTCTGTTGATCATATTTTCCTGGTTGTGTCTTTTTATATGTTTTTATTTAAATTAGAAACATGCTTGCTTCACATGTTAATCCCAGCTCCCTTCTCCCACCTTCCTCCCTTTTCCCTCCACCAGCCCCCCTCCAGCCTTCCCAACCTCCCACCGAATTCCCACACCATTCCACAGGGAGGGAAAGGCCCTCCATGGGGGGATCTCCAAAGTCTGTCATTTCATCCAGGACAGGACCTAGGCCCTCCCCCATGTTTCCAGGCTGAGAGAGCATCTCTCCATGTGAAATGGGCTCCCAAATTTCATTCGTAAGCCTTGGTAATCACTGGTCTATTATCCAAGGCCCCAGAGATTTGTGAGGCCTCCTCACTGACTCCATTCATGGAGTCTAGATCAGCCCATGTTGGCCTCTCAGCCATCATTCTGGGTTTCAAGACTTCCCCTTGTCTGGTCAGATGTCTTTGTGGGTTTCACCATCATGGTCTTGACCCCTTTTCTCATCATTCCTCCCGCTCTGCAAATTGGTTCCAGGAGTTCAGTTCAGTGTTTAGCTGTGGGTGTCTTCCTCTGCTTCTATCAGCCACTGGATAAAGGCTCTAGGATGGTATATAAGGTAGTCATCAATCTTATCATCAGGGAGGGGCTATTAAGGTAGTCTCTCTGATATTGCTTAGTTTGCCAGTTGGTGTTATCCTTGTAAGATCTCTGGAAATCTCCTGGTTATGTCTTTATGTGGTCCTTGGTTTGGGATAATCAATGACACAGAGAGCGAATTTTAACTTTATTAAAAATTATACAGTCTATTTTGATCTTATTTCCCCTGCCCCAACTCCTCTCATATCTCCAAATCCCTACACACTCAGCTTCATAGTTCTTCTCTAGAGAGATTTTATATGAGGTGAAGGGAAGTACTGTATCTGCCTGCTCTCAAGGAGGTAGGATGTGCCAGTGATAGGTTAGGTTGTAGTCCACTGTCCCCCTTCCTTTTTCCTGAATTCAGCTAATCCTAAGTGGGAAACAAGGTAGCTCAGCAGGTGAAGACTCTTGCCACCAATCCAGAGGTCCTGAAATCTATGCCTGGGTCACACTTGGTGGAAAGACCAGACTCCCAAAATTCTCTTCTGACCTCCATACATGTGCCATGGCATGCGTGCACACACATGCATAAACACACAATATAATATGTGATATATTTTTGAAAACAGCAAAATAGTTGTTATTAATATTGGCGATTATAAATCTGAACCTTTAAAGAAAAACGTGCTAAATGTGGTTATCAAAGGAAACAACAGACTTAAGACAGATGAAAGAGATCTCTTTAATTAAATGGAGAGAATGACACAAACAAGGATAATGACAGGGAAATGGAAAGATCCCACATTCCTATCAGCAGTGTCTCAGAGGAAATGAGACAAGAGATGAAAACAATATTCAGTGAAATTTCAGATAAATTACAAATGTATAGAAAAACTGGAACCCAAGATGTACGTGTCTTAAGGGGATAACACATGGAGAAATGCATGGTAGTATATCATAACTCATTTATCAAATTCAGAAAACTTGTTTTAAATGGTGTAATCAATGAATTAAATATTTTTCAGAGGCTATTCCATCTTCTCGAGTGTCACTCATGGTAAGGTCTGGTGATCATAGATGGCGAGAATATTACGTTGTTGTGTCAGATTTACTGATTGACCAGTATTCCTGAATCAGTTCCTTAAGAAGGTCTAGAAATTCTGATGACCAGTAGTTTGAAAAAGATATCCTGCTGGGCCGTGTTAGTAAATTCTGGCTTAATCAAAAATCAACTTTCTTTCTTTTTCCAGAGCAATGAAGTGAAGAAAGAATTTAAAAGGCCAACACTCAGGGTGTGGATTTATCTGGGATCAGGAAGTTCAGTTCCACCTACATTCCAAGACAGATGCTAGACTAAGCTAAAACCCCGTGACCATAAGTTAGTTACAAGAGAACAATTTTAAAAGAAGATATGTTTATGTCCATAGTGAAATCTCTGCTTTCTGGTCATATTGATTAAAGACATATTCTAGACTAGTACAAGAAGAAACCAACCACTAATCCCACATTGGGTGGAAGAGGAGGCCCTGAGTCCCCCACCTTAGCTGAGATCTATTGGCAGATGTTCTCTTTTCGGTCATCTGCACTTCAGTGGATAGTGGTGTGGGACCAGGGTTCCCTTCTGGTGCGGGTAGGCAAGTTCACTGTTGTGGTAGCTGTCCACTTCCTGGTCTCGTGGGTGGAGAAATTGACTAGGATGCTGGAATGCTTTGGATCCTACTGGGGTGGATTGGAGCCCCAGTGGTATACCCCAGGAACAGGAGCATGCCTGGAGACAGGCCCTGATAGTCTTAGTCACGTTGGTGGAGCAGGAGACTAGGGTGCTGGGGTGAGTTTGTTCCTGCCTCTGGGATGGAAGCTGCAGTGGCAGTCCCCAAGCACCTGCAGCCGGTCTAGTCCTAGTTCTGTGGGTTGAGCAGAAAACTACCGTAGCCTCCGGGATGGAAGCCTCAGTGGCAGAGCCTAGGTCCAGGCAGGCGGCCCGGAAATGGGACCTGGTTTACCTGGTTTACCTGGTCCCGTGAGTGGGAGCAGGGGACTATGGTGCCTTGGTTCCCAACACTGGGATGGAAGCCACAGTGGTAGGCTCCAAGCACAGGCAGCCGGTCTAGTCCTAGCTCTGTGGGTGGTGCAGGAAACTATGGCTCCTGCGGTCTTTACTGGGATGGAAGCCTCAGTGGCAGACGCCAGATCCAGGCAGGCCAGATTTTCTATTTTTTTGTGCAATTTTGCATTCCTATCTTCTTGGATGTTTGAAGAAGTCAAGTATGTTTTTTTTGGACACAAATGGGCATTCCATGTATATTATTTTTCATTTTGCTTGTTTCTTCTAAAATCATAAACATTAATCCACTCTTGGTAATTGCCATGTGATAGTCCACTACACTATTGCAGAAGTCACAATTAAACTGAGCAGTCCTCTGCCTTCTACACTCATTTAAGTTATTAATATTTATTTTTCTGTTTTGAAAGCAGTAATAAAATAAATATCACTTTATATATGATATTGTAACCTCTTATGCTACTATTAATTGCAGGAAATGAAATTCCTAGTAAAAAATGCGAACATTTCAACTTGTGAAAGATTGTGAGCATGTCCTACCATACAGCTAGAGCACAATACCTGATTATTATATGGGCAGCAGGGGGTGAGCATCTGCAGGGATCTGTGTCAAAGGTCATGCTTGAGATAGGTCATGCAACCAGGCTTAGGGACAGCTTCCAGATAAGATCAGGCAGAGAGCACGAAGCCCTGCTTGGGGAGGGGAGCCTCCATTGGACACTGAGCTCAGAGAGCTGTTGGGACTTGGTGGACTGCAACCTTAAGTGCCGGGTACTCTAACAAAAGATAATTGCCATATTGTTTTCTAAAATGTCTTATATTTGGCTGGTGATGAAGAACTCTGACTGTTCTTCCAGAGGACACCTATTCCGTTCTCACCACCTATATGACAGCTTAAACTATCTAGAACTCCAGTTCCAAGGGATACAATGTCCTCTTCTGACCTCCACAGAGAAGGATGCACCAAGCATGTATGTGGTGCACAGACATACATGCAGGCAAATAATAAAATAATCTTCAAACCTTATAATGGGTACTCTTGTCATCATCATGGATTTCTAGGTACTTTTTATTCTTTTATTATGATTGATTTTATTTCAGATTATGTGTCTATGTCTGTGGTTGGATATGTGCATGCAAGTGCAGGTTCTTGTAAGAGGGCATAAGATCCCTTAGAGTTATAAGCAATTGTAAGCCACCCAAACTGAGTGCTGGGAACTGAAATTGGGTCCTAAGCAAGAACAGTACACTCTTAACCACTGCATTGTCTCTCCAGTCCTTCCTTTTTTCTTACCTACAGTATTTTGATTATTTAAACACAATTTTGAGATGCAAAGGCAAGGTGTGACTACTTAGTGATCGGTAAACCATATCCCGTCCTATTTTTTCAATTTCCCTTCTGTTCCTGATTTGACTCTATTCTTGGTCAACAAACAGCATTTGAAGGACACTGTGAAATTATCCAAAATATCTTGAGATGGGACTCCTGCCACAGTCATAGATTTCAAGATTTCTTATACATAACTTTTGCGTAGAGTAAGTATATGGACTACTTTAATACAAGTATGGGGCAACAGGGACAAGGTGTGAGAACTTACTGCTCTGTAAATCATGACTTATTCTGTTTTTCACTTTTCCTTCATACGTGTAGCTTGACTCTACATTTGTTCAATCTCATTTCTAGATTTAGTGAGGCGAAGGAATGGATCTTCAAACTGATTGGCTTCCTTTGCAGTCTCTTATCTTTGGTATTTGGAGTAATCCTTGTAAGCAGCCAATACTGGCGCCTCTGGGAATTCAACAACAAGTCCGTTCAGCTTGTGTACATCGGACTCTGGGAAGCTTACTACAATCAAGAGTTTAACATCTCTAGCTCTGTGATCAGGATTCCGGTGCACAGCCCTGTCAACTCAAGCTGGACCATTTCACCTGAATTTCAGTATGCGCAGAACCTGATATTACTGGCGACTTTGATAAAACCTGTTGTCCTGGTTTTCAACTCAGTGATCATTAGACTCACCATCATCAAAGCCTCAGACCTTGAGATTCAGATGCTCTGCTACAAGTGCTGTGTCTACATTCTTGTTCTCAGCAGCTTTTGCACGGTTCTTTCTGTCACCTGGAACCACGTAGTAGATCTTTATGGCGAAACCACCTTTGACTTTCCACCCAATTTTCCTGTTAGGAAAGAAGACCTGATAAAGAAACACCACACTCATGTGTTCCCCATAGGGGTCATGACAACGATTCTTTCACTCCTTGCTGTGATTACGTTCCTCTTCGAGATCAGGTCATTGAAACTAGAGAGTAACCTCAAGGCCTTGAATGCTTCCAAACAGGTGGATCAAATAGTCTGAAGTATGAACTCTGGCATTTCCAATATCAGCCAGGAGAATCCTTGAAGATATTTCCCATTTGCACACAATAATTATGAGTCATCAACTGGCTCCAAATAAACCATCAACCTGGTTTCTGAGTGTCTGTCCAAAATATGTATCTGTGTTGTGGAATAATCTTTTGGTACACTGTGAAGATGTGTCATTCTGATTGGTTTAATAAAAAGCCAAATGCCCAATAGCTAGGCAGGATTTTCAGGCACACAGAAGCAGAAGCAGCATGGCCATCAAAAAGTAAAAGTAACTGAGCCACATATAAGAACATAGATTAAAAGATATGGGTTAATTTAAGTTATAAGAGCTAATTAGAAACAAGCCTAAGCCATCAATAGACAAAGGTTTCATAATTAATAATAAGTCTCTGTGTCATTATTGGGGAGCCAGATGTCCCAATGAAAAGGTCTGACTATAAATGGTGTCAAATGTGGAGCATGTGTTTCCACACAAGACCTGAAAAAGCTTTTTAAAAAGATTTCAAAAACACAAAACCGGAGCCAAACATGGCTTCCTAGTACCACAGTCTCTCCTGTGGTCCATGGTACAAAGATGTGTCTCTCAGCTGCAGCCTGCAGACATAGAGTCACCAGCACTCCATGAGCTAAGCTGAACAGTGGTTTGAGTTCCACTCATGCAGACAGAAAAGATTTCAGATACACTGGAAAGCGGGTTCAGATGAAAAAATCCTCTAAACAGTGTTTAACAATGTGTGTAGGCGTAAGAAAAAAGAAAGAAAGGGGGTATAGACAATCATAAATAAATAAGTTGCTTAAAGTCTTTAGCCAGGCATTGGTGGCACACGCCTTTAATCCCAGCACCCACCTCAACCAGCAAGGAAGACGCAACGCCCAGACTCTTCTTTAAGCAGTTTATTCAGGAAACCTTGAACAATCTTCTTTTCCCGGGGAGCTCTAGGGAGCCCCAACCCACAGCTTAAAAGCCCTTGGGCAGCCAACCCCAGTATGCCACATGGAACATGCAGAAAGGTCCACGTACGCGGAAGCAAGCCTGATATCCAGCCTTAACCAAATACAGGTGTTGTTTATCATAGAGAACACCTGCTGTCAGGCTAGCAGAAGGCGGAAGCCAGCACCATCTTAAGGGTGCGGCACTTCGCAGCTCTTTACACAGAGGCAGGCAGATCTCTGTGAGTTCAAGGCCAGCCTGGTCTACAGAGCGAGTTCCAGGACAGCCTCCAAAACAGAGAAACCCTGTCTCGAAAAAAAAATTAAGTCTTTAAAGAAGGTAAAATAGTAACAAAAAATAAGCCATGTAGAGATGTGTAGTGATATCCACCTCTACACCTGTAGCACTGAACAAGACCTTTTGGTGACAAGGTTTAGGTTTGGGGCTCAAATGCTCCCTCTTGCTTCCTGCTCAGGTCACGGAGAGCATCCAGGTGGCAGGGTGTGCATGCTTGGAGCGGGAGCCCGCGACCCTCATTTGTTTCTTGTGTAAGTTATTTTCTCCTAATAAAGTTCACTTCATCTTACTGGTCAAGCATCCTGATTTCCACGTGCAATAGATGGCAAATACACAGAGAGTCTGGATCCTGTATGTTATTGTGTAGTCTTTGATTTTTCTGTATTGCTGATAAGTAAACAACAGCTACTAGGAGACATGGGATTATTAAAGAGACTGCTGAAATAAACCAGCCTAGAAACTTTAAGAATATGTTAATTTCAAAATACAAGTTAAAAATATGCTACATTGGGGAAGAGGTTATGCTTTTGTTTCCACAGAAAATGAATGGCTGTGGATTCATTCAAGGTTAATAGAGATTGGATTTGATCAGGAAAGGCCCTCTAAAATGCTGGCTACAGACAAGAAGGAGGACAAAGGAAGAGGAGGAAGAAGAAGGAGAAGCAGGAGAAGGAGGAGGAGTCACTATCAGACACAGAGGAAGCAGGAAAGCAGCATGGGTAGAACATAGTAAAGGTAATAAAGCCACAAGGCAAAAGTAAATTAATGGAAATGGGTTAAGAGCTAGTAGAAACAATCGTAACCTATTGGCCAAGCTTTCATAATTAATAAGAAGTCTCCGTGTGGTTATTTGGGAGCTGGAAGGCAGGACAAAAAAATCCATCTACACTTCTGCCTGTCAGTTGCATTCCTTTCTTTAAATGTTTTCACATCCTAAAGTATGCAGGTCATTATCATGTCTTCAGATACTGACAACATGCATTAGCAGGCAAGATTACTGCTGAAATGCAAATTGCTTAAATAAACAAGACAAATACAGGGTTTGCAAATACACTGGCACCTCAACACACAAAAGTCACCAGATTCCTGGGTGAAAACACTTAAGTGTTCATATCTCTGGAGGGTAGAGCTGGACGTCTTAGCCTAGTGCCCATGGATGTCAGAAGGGGATGTCAGGTCCTCTGAAACTGCAGTTACAAATGGTTGTTAGCCACCATATCAGTGCTGGGAACTGATACACAGTCCTATGCAAGAACAAGTGCTCTTAATTGTTGAACTGTCTCTCCAACCCCGTTTCTTTTTTCTCTTCCTTCTTTTCTTCCTTCCTCTCATTTTTCCTTCCTTCTTTCTTCCCACCTCTCTTTCTTTTTTTCTTTTTTGAGACAGAGTCTCACTATGTAGCTTTGGCTGTTCTGAAACTTGCTATGTAGACAAAATTGACCTCCAATTCATCTACACCCATCTGCCTATGCCTCCTGAATACTGTGATTAAAAATGTGCATCGCCATGCCTGACAGCCAGCCTGGTTTCTTTTCTTTTTTATTTTATCACTTATTTATTTATTTCTTTGGTAAATTGTTCTTTGGTTTCTACAGTGGGGAGGTCTGTGAACCCACTAAGATATAGGAAGTCATATAATTTTTCATATGGAGATAAATCTGCTCTCCTTCTTGGAGCTGATCTAATTCTAAGCAAATCTATAGACCATAGTAATTTTGTTTTAAGAGTAAGTTTAGCTACACATTTCATAAACATTTGATTCATTCTGTCTTCCCAGATGGTGAGGAGGAGGCATGGGGTATGGTAGTTCCACCTTAACATGGAAACTTTTGACATAATCCTTTGCTTCTACAAATTTGATTGGCTTTTGCTGCCATCTGGTGGATTGAGCGCTTTATGGATGTAGACAATTTGAAATTATTTTTCTTTTGTTTTTGATATTAATATAATTACAGCATTCCTCTATTCCATTTCCTCCATTTAAACCCTCCCATACAATCCTACTTGTTTTCTTTCAAATTCATGACCTCTTTTTTCATTAGTTGTTGTTACCCATACACATACAGATATATGGATATATACATATATTCCTAAATACATAAATACAGCCTGTTTGGTCTATATAAGACTTCTTGTACATATGATTTCAGGGCTGACAATTTGGTATTAAATAACCAATTGGTATGTTTTTCCCTAGACTATTTCTCCTGCTCTAAGTATCCCTTAGTTGTCTGTAGTTCTTTGTGTAGGGTTGAGCCCTTGTGGGCTTTTCCCATCCTCTTTGGAAAAACAAAAAACCTAGAATAGCCATGACAACCCTGTTCAACAAGGCAACATCCAGAGGCATCACAATCCCTGACTTCAAGCTGTATTACAGAGCTATAGTCCTGAAAACAGCTTGGTATTGGCACAAAAATAGACAGGTAGACCAACAGAATCAAATTGATGACCCTGATATTAACCCATACACCTATGAATACTTGATTTTTGACAAAGAAGCTAAAATTATACAATGGAGAAAAGAAAGCATCTTCAACAAATTGTGCTGGCATAACTGGGTGCTTGCACGTAGAAGACTACAGATGTCTATCGTCATGCACAAAACTTAAGGCCAAATGAGTCAAAGACCTCAACATAAATTCACCCACACTGAACTTCTTAGAAGAGAAAGTGGGAGCTGGGTGGTGGTGGTGCATGCCTTTAGTACCAGAAACTCGGGAGGCAGAGGCAGGCGGATCTCTGTGAGTTCGATGCCGGGCTGGACCGACAACCTCCAAAACAATACAGAGAAACCCTGTCTCGTAAAAAAAAAAAAGAAGAAGAGAAAGTGGGGGTACCCTTGAATTATTTGTTACAGGAGGCTGCTTCCTGGGCATAACACCATTAGCACAGATACTGAGATTTACAATTAATAAATGGGACCTCCTGAAACTGAGAAGCTTCTGTAAGGCATAAGACACAGTCAACAAGACAAAAAGGCAGTCCACAGAATGGGAAAAAGATATTCACTAACCCCACATCTGACAGAGGGCTGGTCTCCAACATTTACAAAGAACTCAAGAAGCAAGTCTCCAAAACACCAAAGAATTCAATTAAAAAGTGGGGTACAGAACTAAATAGAGAATTCTCAGTAGAGGAGTCTAAAATGGCTGATAGACACTCATGAAAGTGCTCAAATCCTCAGCCATCAGGGGAATGCATTTCAAAACAACTCTGAGATACCATCTTAGTTCTGTAAGAATGGCTAAAATAAAAAACACCACTGACAGTTTATGCTGGAGAGGATGTGGAAAACGGGGAACACTCCTCCACTGCTGGTGGGAGTGCTAACTCATACAGCCACTTTGGAAATCAGTGTGGAGATTCCTCAAGAAAATGGAAATCAGTCTAGCACAAGATCCAGCAATTCTACTCTTAGGTATATATCCAAAAGATATACATTCATACTGGGGCATCTGTTCCACTATGTTTATAGCTGCATTATTTGTTATAGTCAGAACCTGGAAGCAACCTAGATGCCCCTCAACTGAAGAGTGGATAGAGAAAATGTGGTACATTTACACAATGGAGTACTACTCAGTGGAAAAAATAAAGGAATCTTGAAGTTTGCAGGCAAATTGATGGAACTAGAAGAAACCACCCTGAGTGAGGTAACCCAGTCACAAAAAGACAAGCATATATGGATTTTAGACATGGATCATTGGAGTGCCAGCCTACAATTCCACCACCAGAGTCTGGGAAACAGGGAGGACCCTAAGAGAGATAAGCATGGTATCCCAGAGAAGGGAAATGGGATAGGATCTCCTGATCAGATTGGAATCGTGGGGGAGGAGAGAGGGAGCTGGGAGAAAGAGAGGGGGAGAAGAGGAGGGG